CCCCCCCCCCCATGTTAAATTGCAAAGAAATCCCTTGTGATTTAAGTATGGAGTGTTTTAAATAAGCACATCATTATGTGGATAAAGGATAAGCTTCTTGGATAAGGAAGTCCTAAACTTGTGTTGATTAATGAAGAAGGGTCTCAGACAGCATTGTGCAGCAGTCCACTTACGTAAGCCTTATTATTGCAGTTTTACTCTGAACAAGAGGAATTTAGGCTGTATGTGAAACCGAGTTTTTGTCACACTGGAAAGAGTTCTTGTTGCTCACTGGAACTGGCTGATTTCAAGCTGGCTTAAATTGATCAGTTGTTTGATTTCATTGATCATCTCTCTTGAATATACATCAGCACACTGTGTGTTGGGCTGCTGCTGTGGGACTCCTGCAGCATATTTTCAGGAGATTATACTGATTCTGCTGTATCATCAAATTGGCTGTTGTACCCTATGACTAATACAAATTTTAGTTCTTTAAAAACAAGTTTACTTTTTTTTGAGTTACACCTGAATTAAAGTTGTAGAAGTTGCCCTGTTGCATGTTAATTTCTGTCACTCAAAATAATGTTTTTCAGTCAAGTGTTTTATCTGTTGTGTTGATAAGTAATGATGCAGTGCTTAGTAAAACATGGCTAAAGTTTGAGTATGAAGAAGTTTACAGTGAATATAGTTTCCTAAGTACAGAAAGGGTTGACAGAAGGAGGTGGCAAGATTTTTGCTTATAACTTTTCTTGGATCAGGTAACCTGGAGGTTGTTGTTGTGTGTTCAGGTGGTGGGAGCTGGTGTTGTTGTGTGTGTGTTGTGGTTTTTTTTTTGGTTTTTTTTTTTTTGTGGTTGGACTCGATGATCTCTGAGGTCCCTTCCAACCACTACAATTCTGTGATTCTGTGAACCTTTTAATTAATCCTTATTCTTTTCACTTCTTTGTAGCCATGAAGCTGATGACTGCTTTAGTGAATGTGGCATTAAATCTTAGTATTAACATGGACAATACACAACGGCAGTATGAAGCAGAACGAAATAAAATAATTGGGAAACGAGCTAATGATAGGCTGGAACTCTTACTCCAGAAAAGAAAGGAGGTTAGTGCAACTGTCTATAGCTGGTTTGTGTACAATGAGTGTTGATAAATGACAATTAATAATCTTGTTCTGTAATTTGTTTTTTTTGAAAAGGCAGTTACTCTAATCCCTCTGTTTCGTTCTTTAAATTGGTCATGTTTAATGTTTGAAAAACTTAATTTCTGGTTTTCTGTAAAAAGAGGTAAATGTAGAGTTAAAATTTTCAGATAGTGCCATCTTAGTAAAGTTAGGAACAGAGACTGCAATCAGTAATAGTTAATTATTTGCTGTACTTCTTGACTAGTTTCCTTAAACAGAGCTCAAATATGTAACAACAATTACTACACATTGACTGTTTTTTGGCGTCTGGAGAAGAACCCCATGATCGTTGGGCAAAATACGGTTTTTATGATGTCAGTACTGATCTCAGCAGAAAGTGTGTTTAACAGCTTTAGATAAGGGCCTTTTTTCTTCCACAGAAAACACTTTCAAAATTGAAAACGCAATCTACTTCTCTTTTCTTTCTTTTTGTGTAAAAGGGACTTGCTGATTCATTGCTGACAGTGCTGTTGCTGAAAGCCCTAGTTCATTCAGGTTCAAGTTTTTTTTTGGTGGGAGAACTGGTGTTTTGGGGTTTTTTTTTGGCTTATTTTAGACATTAGAAATAACATTATTATGATCAAAAGAAACATCTCACCTTTGCTCCTCAACTTTTGTGCTTTTACCGCTTAATGTTTCTACTTTCTTGACAATTAAGAGGAACTAACAACTTTGTTTTCTGTTCATCTCGGATCTTGTGGTTTGAGACTGATGCATTAAATGTAGTTGTGCTAGATGCATGTGCAGCCTCAGTCCTATTATAGGTAATACACAGATACACAGAAAAGGCAGTCATGTGAGAATCAAGACTTCCCAATCTCAATTGCTCTTATGTATAATTAGCTTTTAGGATTTCTTACCAGCTTTTCTAGTTTTGGTTTTGATTTTCTGTTTTTCTTGTCCTAAATGAAAGTAAACTTCAAAGTAACATTCAATTGTTTGATTTCTGGTTTTGTTTCATTTATAACTCAGCCTTATCCAGTACTAAAATTCACTTGAATAATAGATTCTTTTTGCTTTTAATATTTGCTTCTTTTCTTTGTTTTAATTTTTGGAGTTTTTTTGTCTTCTGTTTTAATATTTAGTATTTTTTTTCTGCCACTTCCCGCTTCAGAGGCTGCCATGGGCAAGTGTGAGATTTAGGCCCAGAATATTTTAAGTATTTTGCTTTGTTAGTCCTTTTTTCAAGCTGCTTAGTCTTCTTAGGTATTTCCTCAAAGTTTTTTTCTTTCTTCCATAAATTCCTAAATCTTGTGATCTTATGGAAATTGTTCATTCTTGCTGGTTTTCTAAATTTCTGTAGGAGAGGTCCTTTACCTTTTGTGTCCATTCCCCTGTGTGCGCTTGCACCCCCATCTAGCTAATATCTGTGGTGGTTTCTTTGTGGGGTTTTTGCGTGGGTTTGAGGGAAATGGTGTGGTCCTTGGCTATTCTCATTAACAGTGTTGTAATTTGTCATACCTTTATAGTTCAAACTGTTGAAAGAATACGCTTGTCTGCTGACAATATTTAGTTATTTTCAAATCTTTTAACCAACTTTCTTGTACTTTCAAAGCAAATTCAATTTCCTGTGTAAAACAATGCATGTACCATTTTTCCGCTCATTTGCATGTCTTGCTTTTATGACTCTGAGGCTGGATTGGTCTCCTCCATGATTTTTCAGCTCCATATTCTTAAATTCATTTTTTTCTGCAATACTTTACTCAGTTTCTTTTTCTCTAAGTAATGGATGAAGAGGAAGGAGGTGTTCAATACAGAGTATATGCTGCTCATGTAGCCATTTGCAAAGTTCCTTGTCTGTATCTTGTCTTTTTAGATTACAAATTCTATAGTAAATACAGAAAGTACAGAAAAAATTCTTTATAATGCAGCTCACATAATTTGGATTTTGCTCTAATAATACTTGTCCATAAAAATACCGTAAGTGTATTAAAAATTGGGCTGAACATCAGGCTTAAAAGTTATTAGAAAATTAAGTCAAGTTTTTTTATAAATAACCTAAGAAGGAGCTTGCAGAAACCCAAGATGTCTTTGTTACAGTTGAAGAGAAGTTCTCCAATGGTCAGAATCACTAAAATTTGTATGCTGTGATAGATAGAAATCCTTAAATAATAGCATATTGTACTGTGAAACAGATTTGTGAATGTTTCAGGAAAGGATTTCATGACCACATTTGCAAATGTTAACTTAATTTAGTTTGTCTAGCATCAGCACCATCTGATGTGACTGTAAAAGTGCTGCTCACTGTTGGTGTACTCTGTTCATTCTTTCAGCTTCAGGAAAATCAGGATGAAATAGAAAACATGATGAATGCAATATTTAAAGGTGTTTTTGTGCATAGATACCGGTAAGTTTCGTTTAGTAAGTACTTTGTAGCTTTATTAATTTATTTTGGAAGCTGGTGAGAAGTTACTTCTAATTATTCTTCTGTTTGATCCTATTTTCCCACTTCTTTCCACAGAGATGCAATTGCTGAAATAAGAGCTATCTGTATTGAAGAGATTGGAATATGGATGAAGATGTACAGTGACGCCTTTCTCAATGACAGCTACTTAAAATATGTAGGGTGGACTATGCATGATAAGGTAAGCTGCAGTGAGGAAAAGGAGCAGAATCATGAAGCATAACTCCACGTTTTCAGTTGTTGATTGTGCTAGACTAGGCTCTAATCTCTTAATGGCTTTAATCAGTCACTGCTTTTGCTGTAACTCAGAAACACTGGCGTTTGAGCATATACACAAAATAGACTTGAATCCTTGGAGGGATTTTAGAGAGTATATATAGATTTTTAAGGAACTGTTATTTGTAAGGAAATGGTTTTTTTCTCTTTATGTATTGCTGATACAGACTTCTGCTTTATAATACTTAACCATTTAAAATTAATGGATTTCACATGAAATAATCCAGTCATAGAGACTAACAGTTTCTGTGTTTTGCCAAGTTAAGAAACCTTTTAATGTTCTCAGCTGGATGTAAAAAGCTTGGGAAGGGTCCCCTTTTGTGCTGATGAGTGCCTCAAGCTGTTACTTAGCAGCTACCAGCTAGAGGTTGTCCTCTGCTTGGAGTGGTCAAGAGATTCAGTTTACAAATACTTCTTGATTCATTGTTGAGTCAGCACATTGTCTCAGTTCTGGCATTGGAGACTTCAAGCTATTGAATTTGAAGTGAAACAAATGAGGGATGCTCACTCGTGCTATACTGTTCATGGATTTGGTATCAAAACCCAATAACCTCTGGCAGTGAGGTGATAAGAAACTGTGTGAAATCAGTTGTCATAGACTTTTCAAAAGTATTTCTGTATCTATACCTTGAAACATATTCTCTGCTACAGTAGATCTTGTACTTCAGGAAGAATATTTCTGTATCTGCTTGGTAGTTCTGATCGTGGTCGTGAATGATACAGATTCTGCCAGTTCTTATTTAAGTGAAAGGAAACAAATAGAAATCTACTTAGGAAATATTGTAGGCATTTAGAGTACATCTTTAAAGAATGAAACAAGTGGTTTTTGACTTACAGAGATACTAACTGCAGTAAGACATTTTAGGGAGGGATTGTGCTTTGGGGTTTTTTTCCTCTTTATTGGCTTGTCACAAAAAAGGACACATTCTTATGTCATTAACATGATTATTGGTACGGTATCTTGACAATATTTATTCTTTGTCTCTGAGTTAATTCAGACTACAGAAGAAACTTGTCTTGTATGATTTGAAGATCACATCTATATCCTATACTTGACTTTTAATCCAATTCTTAATTTTATTTTAGCAAGGGGAAGTAAGACTCAAATGCCTAACTGCTTTGCAAGGGCTTTACTATAATAAAGAGCTTAATTCCAAATTGGAACTCTTCACCAGTCGATTCAAGGTTAGTGTAACTTCATATTTTAAAGTATGTATTAATTTTTTTAAAGTTGCATTAGACTTCTCTTTGACAATACTTTCTTTTGTGTTCTTAGGATAGAATTGTGTCTATGACTCTTGACAAAGAATATGATGTTGCAGTCCAAGCAATAAAATTACTCACTCTTGTTTTACAGTAAGTACATGTATATCTCCTTATGTGACCTAAAACAAATATTAAAACTTGAAAGTATTTCTCGTACCTGTGGGTGAGGACAGCAGCTTGACAGAATTTAGATAATCCAAAGTCTAAAGAAATGTCTACACATCCTACACTCAAAGTGGAATTTCAAAAGTAATTTGCCTAGAGCAGTGCTGTTACTTACCTACCACAGTTAAGTAACCGTAAAGGCTAGAAACTTAGAATTCAGCCTCCATAATGTGAAACTATTGTGCAATATTTGAACTGAAGAAATCTAGGATGTACTGAACATTACACAGTATTTAATTTTTGAGCATAACCTTCTACCAAATACTCATGCTTTATTAGCAATTTTTGTTTAGGAAAACTTTAGAACTAAGCTATCTTGTTTTGGGTTTTAGAATGATAAATTGAAGCAAAAGGTTTAGATTCTCCTTCTTTTCCATCTGCTTCATTAGAGTTCATACTCTATTGACTCAGCTTATTTTTTTGTTTTTGTTTTATCTTTTTCTTCTCATCCCCACCCCTAGGAGTAGTGAAGAAGTTCTGACTGCAGAAGACTGTGAAAATGTCTACCATCTGGTTTATTCAGCTCATCGGCCGGTGGCAGTTGCCGCAGGGGAATTTCTTTATAAAAAGTAAGATGGAGAAATTATGTCTAACTTCTTGCTCCTTTAGATTTTAGTGTGTGCATTAATATTAGGCTTCTCATTAGTTTTAATTAAGAAAAGGAAAAAGTGAATAATGAAGCGACCTTAAGAGAGAACTTACAGAAAGTGTAGCACTACCGTAGCTTTTGAAGTGGTTGTAGTTTTTCTGAAAGGGAAATCCAGAGTAATTTTGAAGGCTGTGCTTTAAAAGCTTGTACCTACAGATAGTATAATAAAAAGGTTTCTTTGGCTTATCCTTTCCCATCCCAGCGTTATGTGAAACAACTTGAAATGCTCATGTAGCTTAGTATCTGAAACTTGTGCTTGTAGAATAATGAGTATTTTCCCATTTGTAGTTCTAACCCCCACCAAAGTTGGCTCATGTGGCAAGTTCATAAAGTATTTTTCTCTTTGGTGGGGTAGGGGGCAAGTTTGCTAAAGAGGAGCGTGGGACCTCAAGCACCTGCAGTTATCATTTATGGCTGTGAAGTACTTTGTTAAGGTTATACTTTCCACTGGGGACAGTCAGTGAAATACCATCTCAGCATATATGAAATTTATCAAATGATACTTGTCCCAGATTACTTCCTTTCAAAATAAATTATAGAGCCAAGCAGCAAGGTATTAAGGGTGTGTCTGTAAAAAACAGTATCTTGATACGAATTGACTGGCAAAGGCAATGAAAAAGAAACCTGTCCTGAAATAATTTTTCTTTTAGGCTTTTCAGCCGCAGAGACCCTGAAGATGATGGAATACTTAAACGGAGGGGAAGACAAAGTCCGAATGCTAATCTTGTGAAGACATTAGTGTTTTTCTTTTTGGAAAGTGAAGTAAGTTGTCTTTCATGAATATATTTGTTTTTGTAGTGTGTGCTTTGTATTGCTGCTTTTGGGTTTGTGGGTTTTTTAATGACTATTTTTTTAATTTAGTTTGTTGTTGTTTTTATTTTCCCCCGCTCATTGCTTGACAACAATGATTCTGGTTTTTCTACTACTTGAGCAACTTTGGGGGTCAAAAGACTGTTTTCTGTGATTTTGTTTATTTGAAGGATCTGTCCAGTACAGACTATCGAGACAGGCTGTGAGCTCTACTCTGACAAATATTCTTTCATCATTCTTCATGCTAATACATTGTGGACATAATTTGTGATTTGTGAGATTTTTAAGGTGGAAGGGGGAAAAAAAACTCCCCACAACCACCATCCCCAGCCCCCTGTCCCTCAAGTTCTGACAGAACTTGTAGCATACTCTTTGGAGCAGTTGGTCTCGATTAATCTTTTTCAGTTAATTGGGGTGGATAGGCTGCTGTTGAGCTTGCAAAATTTTCTCTTGTCTTTTTTTGCCACAGACAAGACCCAAGAGAGAAAAATACCCTGTATTATAGCGAGTTCGGTAATGAACATTATTGTTGATAAAGAAAAATATTTAATCTGTTCTCATTTTAGTTGCATGAACATGCTGCTTATCTTGTGGACAGCATGTGGGACTGTGCAACAGACCTCTTGAAGGACTGGGAATGTATGAACAGTCTTCTGTTGGAGGAGCCTCTCAATGGAGAAGAACGTAAGAGACTTTTGTAGATCATTCTTTATATTGCTATGTAGTTTCTGTTAGTCTTGATGTATAAGGAAGTAAGATGTTTACATTTATGGGTGTCCATATATTCTCTATTTTTGCATCGCTATAATAAATCACTAACACTAGGGATAAATGTGAGGAAGAGCAGAAAGAGATCACTTCAGGTATGGAACAGAAGAACAATGATGGGAAGAAAAGGGGGAGAAAAGAGCAGGAATAAGCCTGCAGTCTCCAGTGTCCTGTTGTTCCACAGGTTCAGACTGCACTTCTGACACCAGAGAAACTAAGTTACTTGTAAAGCCTTTTCATTTATTGAGTGTTAAAACTACCCTATGTAAAAGTACTGTCGTTTCCTTAATGACAGTAAAACCAAACCACCCCCTGGCATAATTCTGTAATTCATAGGTCCTATTAAATCGACCTCTGAAAAATGAAAAGGAACTAACATGATTATGAAACTTGGTATTTGTTTCATCCTATCTTGTGAGTCATCCAGTGATATTCCCTGAATTTTAAATATTTTCTTGTTTTGTAAGATGCTTATCTTTTCTATTCCCTGTGCCACCCCCACCCCTGGCCTAGATGCCTTTCTTTTTTTCTTTCAGCAAATATACATATTTTGATCCTTAGATAGTAATGCTTGTGAAAAATGAAAAATCAAGCTGTGTATTAACATCTGTTTCTTAAATTTCAGCTTTAACGGATAGACAGGAAAGCGCACTGATTGAAATAATGCTTTGTACAATTCGGCAAGCAGCTGAATGTCATCCTCCTGTGGGAAGAGGAACAGGGAAAAGGGTAAGAAGCAAAAAACTACTCGTTTAGAGATGTGGGAATGGCTTTGTGGGGAGAGTGTGGAAAGAAAGAAAAGGTTCTAGGCTGTTGCGGGGACTGAATTCAGAATTTCAGCTCTGGTCTCCACAGCCTACCCTGGCTATTTCACTTTTTCGGGACTTAATGAAACCTTGAACCAAAACTTTTAGTTGTAAAATCCTCACAATATCAATATTTTAGGTGCTGACGGCAAAGGAAAAGAAAACGCAGTTGGATGACAGGACAAAAATTACTGAACTATTTGCAGTGGCACTTCCTCAGTTGCTAGCAAAGGTGGGTTTAATTCCATTTCATGCTGATGGACTGTTGTTGAAACATTAACAAGTATAGTTTCATGTGATTATCTGAATAGCTTGCACAAGTCTTCATTTTTTTCTTATTAGTCTTTACTAATATTTGATTATTCTATAATGAATTGTGTTGCTGTCCAAGACGTTTTCATTTGAACTTTTTTCCTTGTCAATTTTACAGTATTCGGTAGATGCAGAAAAAGTCACCAACTTACTGCAGTTGCCACAGTACTTTGATTTGGAAATTTATACAACAGGGCGATTAGAAAAGGTAAGGTGACATTCAGTAACACTTAACACAAAAGGAGAAAACCTAGAATTTAGACTTAGTCACTGGAATTTCAGTCACCGCTGTAGGTCTGTTTTTTTGTGTGAGACTTTATTTATTGTAACATTTATTGAGGATTGGACTTCAGAGCTCTGACTGGCTGCTGGTTTTAGAGATACAGAAAGTTAGAGTTTTCTAAGGCCTGTCTGAGTTTTAACAGAAAATCTTGCCAGCTACATTAGCTTTATGCTTATTAGCTTTATTGCATGAAACGAAGAAAACTACCAAATCACAAATTATGTAGTTAATGGTCTCATTTTATTTGCTGTGGTGATGAAGTTGGTGTAAGCTGTTCTCATCTCTGTTTTCTCCTTCTCAGATGCACTGTCTTGCTGTATTGTCAAGCAAGTAGCTGAAAATCATTAGGGTCAAAAAAAGTAATAAAATGTTTAGTTGACAGCGTAGCGTAGCAACATAGTGTAGAGCAGCAGCGAGCAGCTCGGGTTGAGGGAGGTGTGTAAGAAGAACTGAACTTGGTTTCTGTGCAGACACTTGAGCGTTACGAAACAGAATCTTCAATTTTACAGCTTTTAAGACCACGTGTAAATGCTTGTTTGAGATAAATGCTTTGTGTTGTTCAGTTGTCATTGCAAATTCAAGTGTTAGTTAAAACCATGCAGACAATTGCGAGTTTTTAATGACATTTCCAATGCATGGAATCTTTAGCCTTTGTCAAGGTCCTACTTAATTTTTGCTAGATAGACTTAATTTACTCAGAAGCTTCACTGGCTTTATAGAAGAGTTTTGTGTTACGTATTTCCTATCATACTTATAAATTTAATAAATACAATTTATCTTTTTAAATTTCTTAAGGTTTATTAAAAGTGTGTGATGCATGCGCGTGTGTGTATATATTAATACATATTTTTTTTCCACCCCTCATCTTTCTTGTAGCATTTGGATGCCTTACTGCGACAAATCCGGGATATTGTGGAGAAGCACACAGACATAGATGTTTTGGAAGCCTGCTCAAAAACATACCACGCTCTCTGTAACGAAGAATTCACAATCTTTAACAGGGTTGACATTGCAAGAAGTCAGTTAATAGATGAATTGGCAGACAAGTTTAATCGACTTCTTGAAGACTTCCTGCAAGAGGTAATTTAATGTGCAAGATCAACTTTTTCTGTCCCTGTAAATATTTCCAGTATGTTTTTCTGCCTTCCTATGCAAATCAGTAAGTCAGAGATGGGACTTCCAAAACTGTTAAGCACAATAATACAACAATATTACTGTTGTGATTATGTGAATTCAGGCTCTTCTTCTGTATTAGGACAGTGAGTCTGTAATTTTAATCTCCTCTTAACAAGTGTCTTTTGGGTAAGTTCCAGATGAAGTATGAAATTATGTAAACTTTTCACCTTTAGGTTTTGAATCTCATGTTTTTGAGAGATGTGGTGTTGTAATTCCTCTAGGATTCTCCTCAGATACGCTAGTGTTGTTAGTCTTGCCTGTGATTGCATGTTGCTGCAGTTAAATCTCTAAGAAATCCCTTCCCCTCCCTTCCTTGACTGCAAACAGATGCAGTTAATCGCTTAAAAAATCACTTTGTTTCCACACTGTGCTAATCTGAAGAGTAAGAATTTCCTGATACAGTATTTAACTTCACTTTGTGGGGTCTCTGACATTCAGACAAAACTTGTTTCTCCTCACCTGTGATAAGGAGCTTGGGAGGTGTCTTTTTGACAACTTCATTCTCTATCTACACTTCTTAGATACAGACTTTCTTTATCAAGCTTGGCTCCTGTTCCTCTGGGCTTTTGGCCTGAAGTAAGATTCCACTCTAGAAACCATAGACGTATTGGGCTATGTAAGAAATGTGCCTGGTAATCCATTTATTTCCCGCTTTGTGAGAAAAAGAAAGAATGAGAAGTAAAGCAAGGAAATGAAATGTCAGATAGTTGGCTTGAAGGAAAACGGCAAATACTCTGGTGTTGAAATCCTCAGTGCCTTGGTAAGGTTGTGCAACTGCGGAACAGTAAAACACATTGGAGTTGCAGCATCTCTGGGACACTGAGGAGAAGTTCTGTGTCCTTCGGTAGTTTTTCCTACATACTTAAATAGGTGCATTTTGGACCGTTTTCTTTTTACTCCTTTTATTTCTCCAAATGAAAGTTTGTCAGGAAAATTAGAACAAAACACTTGACTCAAAGATGTTTTTCAGCGATTAAGAATGAGGTACTGACCTGTGGCCCATCTAGTCCAGTATCTATTGTCTGACAGTGGCCTCTGCTGGATTCTTCAGAGAAAATTGAAGCACCTACATAATACAATGTATTATGCTATCCTAGACATTGCTCTCTCTTTCCCCCCCCTTCCTTTTCCCTCCTCCCCGCTCTCCTCCCCTGTTTCTCCTTGTGCTGTTGACTATTTCTAACATGAACTACTACCTTCTCTTTCAATCTCTTTAACTCTTCTAAAAACAAACGTATTATTGATAAATAATTAAGATGCAGTTGTTGTGATTTTGGTTTTTTTTTTTTTTTATTTAGTTGGTTGTGGTGGATTGGGTTGGGGGTGTTGGGTTTTGGGTTGGTTTTTTTATTATTTTTCTTTAAAAATAGTTTTAAGTTCCCTAGTTTGCGTAGCATTTATTACTTGGGACATCTTACTATATGATTATTAAATAGGGGGAGGAACCTGATGAAGATGATGCATATCAAGTCTTGTCAACACTGAAGAGAATCACTGCTTTTCACAAGTAAGTAGGCTTCTGCAAACATCTGTCAGGGTTTGTGGTGTCTGTGGGGGTTGGTTTTGTTTGGTTTTATTTTATACCTTTTAACTTTTTCATGGAATATGGAGGTTTTTAGTTCAGTGTGAATGATTGAGTTGTGCAGAATAACATGTATTTTGAATAGATGAAATAAAAATATACAAAACAAATCTTTTGGGGTTTTTTTGCTGTGGTGGGTTTTTTTTTTTGGCTGAGTTTTGGGGGGTACTTGTGGGGAATTTTTTGGGTTTTAGACTAGTTAAGCTTTTTTTAATTATTAGCATCAGATTGCAGAAATGGTGTTAGTTAAATTACATCTTTGCTTCATTTCTAATGCTTCCAGTGCTCATGACCTATCAAGATGGGACTTGTTTGGCTGCAACTACAAGTTATTGAAAACTGGCATTGAAAATGGAGACATGCCAGAACAGGTCTGTAGTTTAAATGTGTTCTTTAGGTACAACAGTGAATAGCTTCTCTTGCTGTCTTCTCTTGGCCTTTGTCATCTAATGCGTTTTTCCCTTTTGATTCCAGATTGTTATTCATGCACTGCAGTGTACTCATTATGTAATCCTTTGGCAGCTAGCAAAAATTACTGAAAGCAGTTCCACAAAGGTATGCCTTATTTCACTTATATTAGTAAATAAACATTTGTACATACCTGTAGTGTCATCAAGTGGGAACTGTCATGCAATTAATTTAGACTAAGAGTTTTTTGGTGGTCTTTTTTTTTTTTTTTAATACTGATGCCTGCCTAAATCTACACTTCTAATAACTTCTTTAGAATTCATAATTTTAGTAGTGGAATGCTTGACTTTTAAACCTAGTATTTCTCTAAATTGTTATGTTTTTATTATTTAAGTACCGATATGTTTAATTTGATAGAATTTTAAAGGAATTATAGTAAACAAACGCAATGTCTATTAGTCTGGCACAGCAGCAGTGCTAAGGGCTAAAATACCAATTACAAAAACCAGTGTAGTCAGCCTTACTACTCAAGTAGTGGGTTTGAATTTGTTTGCGAACCATGAAGTGTCAGTGATATGTGAAATATAGGAACTTGCACATTATCGCAGTGTTCTTACTGCTTGTTGTATGTTGCAATCATACTTTGATCTTCATCAGTCTTTTCAATGTGTTGTTAAATAAAGACATGAAAAGGTAAAGTTAAATTTCAAACTTTCTTGGGGAATAAGAGGGCCTGTTCCGGTTCTATGTATAGTAACTGTGAAGGGCAAAGCTCTGGCAAATGTCATCTTTCTAATTTCACTTCTTGAAAAATATTGGAGGGAAGGATTAAGGTTCCTCATATCCACTGGACGGCATTGCTTAAAGAGGGTGATTAGTGGCTTGCTTGGTCTAACAAAAGATGGTTTTTGGAAGGTTAGACAGTTTAGTATGGAGTTTGTAAGTGCTGAAACATTTTGATGATTTCTTTAACTAAAAAAAAAAAAAGTTGTTATCAAAGTTGTTATCAAACATAACTTTTCTGGAACCCTACAGTCCTGTAAGAAAGGTACATCTTGTGCTCTTCCACTGGAAATTTTTGCTGCACTTTCTTATTGCAGTTGCTGATAACGCATCCTTTATTTATGGCAGAGATGAAATAAGTAAATTCTTCAGGTTTTTTAAACATTATTGTTGCCATATTTATAATTAATTTAAGAAAAAGAAGTTGTAGGCATCTCATAATTTACTAGGGAGAAAACAAAGGGAGTTTATATTAATAATTTATAATGAATAAATTGTAATTTGTAATAATAATCATTATTCCAATACACTTATTTTATTGGTGGGATGTATAAGTTGCTTATTTTTTCTCTATTTTTGGCTGTGATAGTATGAGTTTCTGGTAGATACAGGAGTGGCGAAACATGTTACGTAACTTGTACTAATGTTTTTTGTAATAGGTTTGTGAGATCATGGTGTTTATAGGTTTTTTTCCTATAATGCTAAGACTTCATTAGTTACATGAATAATTGCAGCTTACTGATGCAGTAATCACAGTCTGAAGGTACACTAGCTGGCTATCTATTTTACCATGTGGGTTTTAATGATTTTTAACATTTCCAAACCCAAAAATATCAGATAGGAAGTGGATACATTGATTGTTGAAAACCATTTATGCAAGTGAAGGATTTGGAGGCTTTGTTACCTTATTCTTTAAAGGGTAAACAGCAGTTTGAGGTTTTTTGTGGTAGTGATTAAAGCTTTATCATAAGCCTGATGGCAGAAGCTGAGCTAAATACTGAAAAGTTAGGTCAGAAATGAAGATTAATTTAGCTATTTTGCAGTAAAAAGTAATTTGTAATACTTTCAGCAGGAATGAAAAGAATTTATTTGAAAAGTGGTCCTTTATTGAGACCATTTCTACTCCTGTAGAATAAAGTTTGGTAAATTAAAGCTTTTGTAGGTTTAACTTCTCAAGCACAACTCTTCTATTGTATTTAACTTCTTGACTGCTGCCAAATATACCAGGTGCGTACAGAAGTTCCATTGGTTTCTGTTGAATTCCAATGGAACATCACAGCAAAGAAGTTGAGGCACAGAACCAGCAGTGTCAGAAGTGTATGATGCGTGCCTAAAGATCAATTTTGGGGATTTTTGTTTGGTTTTGGTTTGTTTTTTTTTTTGGTTGGTTGGTTTGGTTTTTGTTCTGTGACAAAATTAACTGCTACCTGTGTGCTCTTTGTGAACAGGTTGACTAAGTATGTGAATTAGCTTCATAATATAGGTTGCTAAAATAAAAGACTACATAAATGGATCCATTTTTATTAAAATTTAAACAAATAATTATCTGTAAAGGAAAGAAAATAATCCTATGGGTATTTCTCTTAATGTTAGAATAGTAATCTGAAAGGTAAATGTTGAGAGAAAAGGAGTTATGTAGTGAAGGTTTTCTAAAATCATATTATAGTTAAATTTATAGTCAGAAGCAGCTGTTGCTTTTATAATTATGGTTGAGATTAAATGGTGCGTTGCACCAGTGTCTTACCTGCTTTCTTGAAGGGGAGAGACTTATTTTGGTTTAGATTATATGGATATTTTTTAAACTTATCTCGGGGATATTTCTTCTTTGTCTGGACTGATACTGGTTATACAGATGGCCTTTTGTAATAAGACTTCCCTAGTGCTGTGGCTAAAATTTTCACATCATTGAGTAACACCAACTATGCTGCGCATGTGGATGGTATTTCTACCAATCGGATACTTTATTTGCCCAGTAATCTACTTTTCTGGAAGTTACTGCAACACTTATGAAGCTACATTTTTTTTTTTTATTTTTTCAATGAAAGAGAGGAACAAAACCCCAACTCTCACCTGACACTTTATCCCCAAGCAGTGAGTTAAAAAAATGAAATGAAATGATACCATGTAGCCTGCCTGTTTAAGTTATAACAGCTACCTAAAATCTATCCTCTAGGTTGAAAATGCAGATACTTTGAGGAGAAAATGATTTATGGTCTGGGTTGGGTTTTTTGGGGGAGTGGTAGTGTTGGTGGGGGTTTTCTAGTTTCGGGGGTTTTTTTAATCACTATTTTTGTAATAGGTAACTTCACTATTTTAATCCCAACTTTTGTGGTACACAGGATGACAAAATTGAGGAAATTGCTACTTGATATTTAAAAATCACTATTACAAATAAAAATAAGGCTGTGGATTTGAATGTTACAACTATGTCTGAGGTTTGTCCTGGATAGCTCTGAAAATGCATACTCTAAAAGTGACTAGGAAATTGAAAAAGCAAAACTTACATTAAATCCTTGTCTTTAAAGGACGATCTTCTACGCCTAAAGAAGCAGATGAGAGTGTTCTGTCAAATCTGTCAACACTACCTGACCAATGTAAACACTGCTGTCAAGGAACAGGTTAGTGACTGTTGTTCATATTTGTAGTCTTCCAATATTATACTTTTGAAGCAGATGAAAAGTTCCTCTTGCTAATATTTTTAGCACTTATATGGGAATGTGGTGTATCTTGGATGTTTAGGCTGAAGCCCCTTGAGCACTGTACTTGTGTGCTTGACCTCCCTTAGCTAATTTAGGTAGGATATCTGAATCAGTTGGAACTTGATTCTTTCTAGTAATTTTAGGCAGCATAAACTTTTATTCAAAGGGGGTTTTTTTTGTTGTTTCTTTAAACAATGACTGGGTGGGTGCTCTATAGAAACCATCTGGTTTGTAAGTTAGGTGGGCGAGTTCCATTGGAAAGCTCTTGCTTACCATGTGGTCATGACACACGCCTCCAGCGGAGCTGATGGTGCATTCACAGACTCAGAGCTGGAAGAGCTAGGGACAGCTGTTTAAAAAAAAGAAGTTATTTTTTGAGTTCTGTCTTTGAATGCTTTTACGTTCCCAGATTTGTACTATTATATATATATCTGCCATCCACTTAAGAACTGGGAAAACAACTTACTTCCTCTTGCTGTAAACCTGTGAGAAAATACAGAGGCAACTTCTCTGTCTGTTCCCCTTCACCACGATGCTGCATACAGAATATATTCCTCAATTCTTCAGAGTTCCAACATTCTGGGGATCTCTGAAATAGGAGAAAAAGAATGGGTACTTAACATGAGTGGGTGTGTTTACACGTGCACACAGATGCATTGTAACCTAGGGGATTTTGTCATTGGGAAGTGGTATTTCTTTTTTGTGATCACCCTTCGGTACGCTGACACACTGGTCAATTGTTAACAGGATTGTTTAGAGATATTTGGAGACTGTTATAGCAAACATTTGGAAGCCTTGACAGTGATGTACTGCTTGGAAAAGATGGGAGCAGTTTTCATTTTACTAGTTCTATCGTTTGTCTCTCACAGAGTTGCCCTCTGTGGGGGTGAGTTTTAGCTGGAACTAAATTCTTGGATATTTCAGACATAAAATGTATAGGTATTTGGTCCATGCAAGTAGGGTCTGGCATTTGAAGCAGGAGACAGAAGTCCTTGCATTCTTGAAGAAAAATGCAGGCATGAAGGTTTTGAGGCTTGTTTTTTATTTTTCTTCTGTTTAAAAAAGAATTGAGACATCATCTTGGGAAATACTTGCCTTGAATTCTGAGGGTAACAAACAGGGTCAAAGGAAAAGATTAAACTGTAGGGGCTGAGTCTCTTCCTGTCTGTGGTCAAATAGTTTTCTTGCCAGGACACTCAGAGGAGTTTTAGGTTCCAGTGAAGAGCAGAATTACGGATAGCAGGATTAATTCTAAGTAAATGCCTTTAAGAACCTTTAGAATGTTAAAATGAAAAAAACACCCATAAAGTACCTCTCTATGGGGGAAGGACCGAACTATCTTCTGGGTATACTTTTTAATTAAACAAATAGAAGGCTAGGAACCTTTATGCTGCTAAAGGTAATAATAATCTGGTAACAATAACTTGGAAGGTTTTCCAAGTGGACCTTGGAAAATCTGGTCCACTGAGTCGCACAACTGCAGCTTACGAAATTCTTGCTATAACAAGAAAGCTCCTGAAACTGAATAAGCATGTTCTATGTCAGAGAGCTATCTACTGTCAAAATCACAAGGGAGTGAAAGTGTGAGTAACTGAAATTATTCCAGCTCTGAATAGGTCTCTTTAAAGGACTCTGTAACTCAGACTCGGGTGAATGCTCTAGAAACTATAACTGTCTCAGTCACATACGGTACAGTAGACACGCTTCTGCTTTCCTTCTCTAATCTCAAGAAAGGGCACAAGGCACATCAGAGAAGCATATGTATTTCTGTGGCCAGGAAATTCTTAAAATTTGCTTTGAGGAGTTAGAGAACAGATCTGTTCGTTAAAATGGGAATATTTAAGAGAGTAGAGTCAAAGAGATGAGTTGGAGCAGTAAGAGTCTCCTTGGTCTCTTAGTTTGAAGAATGTCAGTCTGGGTACTGATATGTTTGAACTTTCCAGGGAGGGGGAGTACAACAGACATGTAAATCTGATGTCAGATGCACAAGTTAGCCAGCAAAATGAAGAGGTGGTTGCTTCTTTGGAAGCAATGCATACTCTAAGACGTAAAGGGGTTGAATGACTTTAGCTGTAAGATGTTTTACAAATGTGATTGAAACAATGTAAAAAAAGGAAAAAGGAGGCTACAACATGGTTGGTGTCCACAAAGTTCTCTAGTGACCTAATGTATTATCTGTCAGGCAGAATATAGTAGTTTGTATCCTCGTGTTTTAATCTAACAATGTTTTGATATTTAGTTGGCTTCATCTGTGCAATATTTTTATTTGGAGACCCCAGTCTTCATACAGCAACCTCCTGTAAGAAACTATGCACGTTTGCACTTCCAGTTGGCCTGTGTAATTGTTTAGGACTGAAATGGCCTATGTACACCATTGGGCTTCAAGTACATTATTCTAAATAAAATCCAGTTTCCAAGCAAGTATTTACTAAAGTTTCTTTTTAATAGGCTTTTACAATTCTGTGCGATGTGTTGATGATCTTCAGTCATCAGATTATGACAGGAGGACGTGACATGTTGGAGCCACTTGTTTACACTCCTGATTCTTCACTGCAATCTGAACTACTCAGTTTTATTTTGGATCATGTCTTCATTGATCAGGATGATGATAATAATAGTGCAGGTTTGTACAAAACTTAGGTTTCCTTTACATTATTTGCCCTTCTTATTAATAAATTTGTTTGCTTATGCTTTTTTCTGGTTTTTACTCTTTTTTTTTTTTCTTTTTTTCTTTTTTTCTGACATTGAGAGTTGTACATGGGCGCAGAGGAAGGTTTGTCTCTTAAAAGTCAACAGTCAATGACGGCATTTTATGTTTTGGGGACACATAGGAAAACTGTGGTAAGGGTTTGGTTTGATAGGCACAAATATATATGTCTCTGTACCAGGAAAAAAGACTTGTCAGTGAGCAATGAAGTGCACTGCTGTCAGAATTGAGATTTGATTTTCTGAATCCTGACCATTAGCCCACAGGACTGATATACACTGATTAAATATGAAGTATTTAAATACGATGGTTTTAATGTTCTGAACTCTTTCTAGATGGACAGCAGGATGATGAAGCTAGCAAAATTGAAGCATTGCACAAAAGAAGAAATCTACTTGCAGCTTTCTGTAAACTCATTGTATATACTGTGGTGGAAATGAATACAGCTGCAGACATTTTCAAGCAATACATGAAGGTAAATCTGAAGCCTAGTGTAATGATACTTCGTAAAATGATTAGAATACAGTAGTTGTGGATTTTGTAATTATCTTTTTTTTTTTTTACCATACAAGATAACTGATTCAAAATGTGAAGAATTCAAAACCCCGTAGTTGGTACATTGTAGGCCCTTAAAAGTTCTTTTCCACAATAAGGGAAAAAATGTCCGAGATCAGTTTCACAGTTCCAGTGGGTGGGTAATGGGGAGGGAGGAAGGAAACCTGATAATGATTTTTACATTGTTTTTAAAAGATTTATTTTCTTACACTGATGGTATATTTTTAATATAGTGATTAGTAGGCTTCTTGAGAATCTTTCCACAAAAGTCAACTCAATGGTGTCTAGCCTCATCATGTCTAGCCCCCACCACGTGTCTTTATATGAGTTCACATTTTGTGAACATAATAAAGCTTTGCTCCTTGGTGGTTACCTTAAAAAAATTTAAATTTGGGCAGCCTGCTTTTGTCTGAGTGCTGTACATGTATTTTGAATCTCTAAATAATTAGTTGGGTCTTTATTGTACCCGAAATAGTTAAAGAGCTGAACAGGCAGCTATCTTCACTGGAAGAATTATGGCTGCGGTGCTATCCATAAGTGCTTCCTTTCAGCAGAGAAAATAGAAAGCCTCCCCACCAGCGTTATAGGAGTTACTAAAAAGATTAGATTCTCATCTTCTACCCTGAAGGGGGGAACACATGTTACTAACAAATGTGTTATGGCCTTGAAGATAAATAGGTCATTCTGCCTCTAAAGTAATACTAACAAGAAGAATGAAAAGAAGTGGATATACTCTTTCTGACTGGAGGGTTTTTTATGATTTTGGAGGGGTTTTAGGGAATCATTTTGATGATGTTATCATGAACATGTTAGGTTTTTTTCTTTTGAAAGTGTTCACGTTTTTTTAAAATAGCAAATCCTAGATGATGTTTTCTGAAGAATCTAGTAGTTGTAAAAATTGAAAGTTAACCTGTTTTTGTTTTTTTTATTTTCCCTAGTATTACAATGACTATGGTGATATTATTAAAGAAACGATGAGTAAAACAAGACAGATAGACAAAATCCAGTGTGCTAAAACACTTATTCTTAGCTTGCAGCAGGTAAGAATGAGTTACAATATTTTTATGCATGAAATTCCATTCTGTACATCATGTCCCGTTGTTTGTTAGTGTGAGGTATTAATGAAGAAGTTCTTATGGAAGGAAGAGATAAATAGGTCTAAATTGAAGCTCATTTTCTGCAACTATTTGAATAACTGCCAGAAGTCTTCCAATACTTACCAAATACTGCGCTACAAAAACTTTGTGAGAAGTTGATCAATATGAAACAAATGTAACTGTCTGATACCTTCCTAACTCTAAACTAATAGTTTGAGGCGAGTGTTCAGAAACATGTTGTGAAACTGCTAGTTTACTTCTCATGAGCAAATAAACAAGGGAAAGCACTTCCTGCCTGTGTGGTGGGTTTTTTTTGTTTGTTTTGCTGTAGGTTTTTTTGTTGGTGGTTTTTTGAGTTTGCTTTTCTAACTATTCTGAGAAGTAATGGGAAGTTGTAGTAATTCAGTATTTCTTAATGTTTGGTAGGGGCTTCACCCATCTTTGAAATTAAAACATGATTTAATGCTCTCTTCAGTAAATGAGCTTGTTTGTGTGAAGACCTGATGAATTCAGGCGAGGTCAGAGTCGGATTCATCTGCTCACATGAACCATCTGCATGAATCTTATTTACAGTATCAGAACAATAAAGCCATATTTCTACAAATCACTGTAATCCAACATAGATCTCTGCTATTGTTGAAAGGGAAAATGTACCCCAATTTGTGCTCTCTCTGCCCACACCTGGTTTTTTTTTTTTTTGAGTAGAGATCGTAGAGCCACATAGTAGATATAGATCTAGATAATGATCCTGGTTGAGAACTAACCAGAAAAAGTCCTTAATGAAGCCACTAAGCTGGTTTATGTATATGGTTACTGCCAGTATGAGGGAGGATGAAGCCCTTCCTTCAGATAGCAGCGTGAAGTAGTGGTGGAACTGCAACATAAAATACGCAACTAAATACTCCTACAGTTTTTGCTGACTTTTAACCAGAGTTCACAATTTATTGTGATAATTGGGTTAATGCTATCCTTACTAGTCTTTTCTGTCTTGTGAATAACCAGCCCCTTATATTTTAAAGGGCAGACAGAGGAAGTGAATGTAGTAAGTACAATGACACATGTAACAAGGAGGCCGTTATACAATCCTAATATGACAAAAAAAAAGTAACATGGAAAACAAACAACCCCCCCCCACAAACATGTGAAGTTAAGCATGTAACTAGCATATTTTTCTAGGAAAACTTCTTCAAAACCAGAGAAGAAATACTAGAAGTGATAGTGGATAAACGGAATAACTAAGTTGCAGTGAGCTACACCAACATAAAAGAAAAGTATGCAACTATGTGCCAAAACGTTTCTGTAAATGAAAAGTTAATGTTTGTAGCCCTAGTAAATTTGGTTTTGGTTTATTCCTTGTTATATGAAAGTGAAGGGTGAGTTATACAAACTTAGAAAATAATAGAATAATTGACTGTTGAAGATAATTCAGTCCAATTCAGTAGGATGAGAAAGGGATTCATCAAATCGAAAAAGGATTGTAAAGTTCAGAGTGTTCAGCTTTGCCATTTATTGATGAATACTTAAAAGTGTGATCCTCAGTGGCAAAGTTTCTCATGTCTTCGGCAACTTCCCTGAAGACATGTTTCCATTTTAGAATTTCTTCATTATACTTGTAGTTTGAAAAGATAAAAAAGAAGAATTAGAAAATAGTAGTTTGACAAACTGTGATAGTAAGGACCAGGTTAGAATTTACCCCGTTTATTTCTTCTTGGTTAGTGTACATATCAGCGTATCCTACTAATTTTTAGCATTCTCAACTGTATAACACCTCATTTAAGGAGGTGCCGAAACCTGTCATCCAACATACTTAAACTTTGACACATGCTTGGGCAGTGTGCATTTCAAGGATTAACTCTGAAGTGCAGAGTTTTCAGGGGTAGCTTTGGCTTGGCTTTCCTAAACCTCCATGTTTGTCTTTTGGAGTTCTCAGATTAAGAAAAAAAAGCTGTAAAACACTTAGTGAAACTTACCTGTGTGTCAGTTGGTCTAAAGTTTGACATAATCTTTTAATAAATGAAAATCTCCCTTTTATTTTCCTACAGCTTTTCAATGAAATGATTCAAGAAAATGGTTATAATTTCGACAGATCATCACCAACATTCAGTGGCATAAAGGAACTTGCTCGACGTTTTGCTTTAACGTTTGGACTGGATCAGTTGAAAACAAGAGAAGCTATTGCTATGTTACACAAGTAATTGTGTACTTTATATTACTTCCCTTTTTGGAAACTCTTCTTGACTAACATTAAAATATCTTTTCAGTCTTTCAAAATCAGTTTGTTAATACAAAACGCATCAGCACTAGAGACAGTATAGCCTGTTTGTAAATTCCGAGATAACTGCATTTTATCCCTGAATTAATCCAAATGTTAAATAATGTTGATGTTCTTCAGCATCATTGTATAAGTTTGTAAATGACAGCAGTGTTGATGCTATCATCGAAAAGTGTTTTTAATCTCTTACCTGTAACAGTAAGAATCAATCTACTTCATTGTCATGCTGTGGTCATGTTGGCCTCATGCCGAAAACTTGACACGCAAGGTAGAAACGTCATGATAGACAGAGTATGTCTGGAATCAAATTATGAGTAGTGCTTGCTTTTTTCCCCCAAAATACGGAAGCATCAAATTATTGCTTTCTTGATGGTAGAGGAAAGGCGTTCAGTTTTGATAGCTCACAATGCTTAGAACTTTTTCTTTAGGTTGTGCTTTATGTGACTTAATTTTTAACTTTTTCTTAGGGATGGCATAGAATTTGCTTTTAAGGAGCCTAATCCGCAAGGTGAGAGCCACCCACCATTAAACTTGGCGTTCCTTGATATTCTGAGTGAGTTCTCCTCCAAACTTCTCAGACAAGACAAAAGAACAGTGTAAGTATTTTCTTAGTATTCTTAATATTTGTAATGGTAACCATAAAAGACATGCACCTCTGTAAATATTATTCATGTGTACTGCATTCACCTAAAGTGGAATCTTCAACACATTAAGATAATTTTACACTAATGCAGTCAAGTAACAAAGGGTAAATTGTATTTATCCTTGTTATTCTTATTTTATGGTGGATGAACAGAAAACATTCTGGATTTAGTGTTGTCAGGCCTTTTTGTTAACTAGATGAGGAACATAGCATGGCATGTTAACATCTTGTTACAGATATATTGCATCTTTGTAATTATTTTTTTCTATTTAAAGGTATGTTTACTTGGAGAAGTTTATGACCTTTCAGATGTCTCTACGAAGAGAAGATGTGTGGCTTCCTCTCATGTCCTACAGAAACTCTTTATTAGCTGGTGGGGATGATGATACTATGTCAGTGATTAGTGGAATTAGTAGTCGAGGATCTACAGTAAGAAATAAGAAGACAAAGCCAGCGACAGGAAAACGGAAAGTACCTGAAGGTATAACTGTTCTCATCTTAAAATTTGCTAGAGTAGACTAGTGTCTGCTACACGCACTACATGTGTCAATCTCTATTTGTTAGCTGGGCTGAATTCATATGCTTTAATGTATTTTTTTTCAAAACAGGATAACTTCTGTGCATGTATATGTTTTAGTGAGAAAACTATTCATTTGAAGAGTCTGAAAACCATAACACTGATTCACAGAAGAAAATAAAGGCGCTGTACTGTGTTAAGTCACGGAATATAAAAGTATTTTACTCTGGGCAGTGGTTATGAATCCAGGCCTTTTGGCCTAAGACTTTGTGGCAAAACACAAAGAAATTGATTCTCAGTAAGCAGAAAGTACATGCATTTAAGTTGTGTTTAAACATTCAAGTTTTAGACCAGTTTGAAAAACTTTACTGATGTCCTGTTTCCTGCCAGCTGAAGAAAGCAGCAGTAGTGACAGTATGTGGCTGAACAGGGAGCAGACAATGCACACACCAGTCATGATGCAGACACCTCAGCTTACTTCCACAATAATGAGGGAGCCCAAGAGATTGCGACCTGAAGAAAATTATATGGGTGTCTATCCTATGCAGCCTGAACACCATCAAGCTCCACTTGATTACAAGTACGTAGATGAGTAGGTCTGCTTTGTGTTAGTGTTCATACACAAAACCAGTTCATGTTTAAAATAGAATAATGGTCTTTTTAAGCACGCAAGTAACGTGGATGTTGGCTCAAAGGCAACAGGAAGAAGCCGCGCGACAACAACAGGAGAGGGCAGCGATGAACTACGTGAAGCTGAGAACCAACTTGCAACACGCCATGTGAGTGAGAGTGAAATGCTCCTTTGGTGGTTTGGGGAGGAGAGGGTTTATTAATTATAGTGTTACTCCTTTATCTTTTAAGAGGGATACATGTTCTAGTTCTTGAATAGTGTTTTTCTTTGGCTTAAAATTTTAAGTTACCTTAGAAAAACAGTGGTAAAAGTGCATGGCGATGCATTTAGCAGAATAGATCTGTTTAATTTCTTACTTATTTTGAATCATATAATGGTTTGCGTTGGAAAAGACCTTACAGATCATCTAGTTCCATCCCCCCTGCCATGGGCAGGGACACCTACCACTAGACCAGGTTGTTCAAAGCTCCATCCTGCCTGGTCTTGCACACTTCCAGGGATGAGGCATCCACAGCTTCTCCGGGCAATGTGTTCCAGTGTCTCACCACCCTCACAGTAAAGAATTTCTTCCTAATGTCTAATCTAAATCTACCCTCTTTCAGTCTAAAACTATTATCCCTTGTCCTACTGACACACTCCCTGATAAAGAGTCCCACCCCATCTTTCCTCTAGGCCCTTTTTAGGTACTGGAAAGGGGCTCTAAGGTCTCCCTGGAGCCTTCTCTTCTCCAGGCATCTCCTTCGTAGAGGTGTTTCAGCTTTCTGATCACCTTTGCAGCCCTCCTCTGGACTTGCTCCAACAGCGAGTTTATGTCCTTATGTTGCAGTCAACCTAAGTACTGTGGGATGCTGTACTCCAGGTGGGGTATTACCAGAGTGGAATGGAGGGGCAAAATCACCTCCCTCAACCTGCTGGCCACGCTTCTTTTGATGCAGCCCAGGATGCAGTTGGCTTTCTGGGCTGCAAGTGCACATTGCTGGCTCACGTTGAGCCTCTCATCAGTCAACACCACCAAGTCATTCTCAGGGCTGCTTTCAGTCCGTTCTCTGCCCAGCCTGTGTTTGTGCTTGGGATTGTCCTGACCCACATGCAGGACCTTTTACTTGGCCTTGTTGAACTTCATGAGGTTTGCATAGGCCCGCCTCTCAGGCCTGTCTGGATCCCTCTGGAGATGGCATCCCTTCCCTCCAGCGTGTTGACCACACGACACAGCTTGGTGTCATTGGCAAAATTGTTCAGAGTGCAGTTAATCCCACTGTCCATGTTGAGGACAAAGATCTTGAACAGCACTGGTCCCAGTACCAACTCATGAGGAATGCCACTTGTCACTGGTCTCCACTTGGACATCAAGCCGTTGACCGCAATTTGTGAATGCGACTATCCAGGTGATTCCTTATCCACCAAGTGGTCCATCTATCAAATCCATGTCTCTCCAGTTTAGAGACAAGAGTATCATGCGAGGCAGTGTTGTGACATTGACAGTGTCAAATGCTTTGCACAAGTCCAGATAGATGACATCAATTGCTCTTCTGTTATCTACCAACATCATTGTAGAAGGCCCCCAGATCTGTCAGGCATGATTTGCCCTTAGTGAAGCCATGTTGGCTGTCACTGATCACCTTCTTACTTTCCATGTCCCTTTGCCAAGTTTCCAGGAGGATCTCTTCCATGATCTGTATTCCTCCCAGGCTACCTGTTCTTGCTTCCACCCTCTGTAGGCTTCCTTTTTCTGTTTGTGTGTCTAGGAGTTCCTTGTTGATCCATGCAGGCCTCCTGGCATTTTTGCCTGATTTTCTCTTTGTTGGGATGCATCACTCCTCAGCTTGGAGGAGTTAATCCTTGAATATTAACCAGCTTTCCTGGGCCCCTCTTCCCCTCCAGAGCTTTATCCCACAGCACTCTGCCAAGCAGATCCCTGAAGAGACCAAAGTCTGCTCTCCTGAAATCCAACGTAGTGAGCTTGCTGTGCCCCCTCCTCACTGCCCTAAGGATCTTGAACTCCACCATTTCATGGTCATAGCACCCAAGACTACCCTTGAGCTTCAGTTGAGCTCAAATGCCAGAAAAATTAAATAGTAGTGAGTTTTGTAATAAAGGGAACTGGTTGTTGAACTGAACGCTATCTGTGGCAGATAATGGAACATGTGAAACATCATGTATTCCTAACTGCAGAATCATTTTTAGAAATGAACATTAAAAAAGTTGTTCAGTGTGTGAAGCAGAAAGTTTCTGCTCAGTTTAATTCCACTGTTACTTTCTTCTTTGGCTTCAGAGTTGTAAGTTTAAAGTTCAGCTGGTGGGTTTTTTTATATTATTATTTAAACAAGAGTATTCCTTTTAGAGAAACTCCAGTCTTAGCATTTCTGTGATCGGTACAGATTTTGTCTGATCTAAACTGACACCAAAGTTGTGAGGAATCTTGTAATACCAGTTTTGGTAGAACTTCCCAACCCAAACACGGAAAACTTATGAAGTCTTCCGTATTGTGAACAAAGATGAAGACAGTCTAATGTTTCTTAAATTAATATTGTCCCTCAGAGGTCATACACTCTAACTGTAGTGTCACTTGCTTCACTGTGGTTCATCACAAGTGCATTTTGACAGGCTAATGAAATTACGTTCCAGAGTTTTTCTAGCTTAAGAGGGGAAGACTAGTCTTAGAACTTCTGCTTTAATGAAGACTATGTGGTTCTACAGAAGAAAAGTACAAGTTGTTTATTAAAACCAGTGAATGTACATATTGAGGAGCTTTACATCCTTCCCCTACATGTTTTTTATTCTTTAATACCAGTACTTCATGTAACACAATTTCAGTGTTGGTGGTTGCTTTTTTTTTTTTTACTATAGTGACACCAGTTAGTATAATTAGAATGACTCCTAACTCTTCTCATAAGGTTTGATGTTGCATGTAGAAGTGGCAAGGAAAGAGGATGAAGGACTGTGTGGAAGTGTCTGAAAATGGATTTATGCATCCACTTTATTGCAAAGACATTCTTCCTTGCCTTGACGTAAGGCAGGAAGAGTTTTTCTTTAAGTGGCAAAAGTTCTTTCTCACTTGAGCATAAATACTTGCATGGAAATCTTTGAATTTGGTGTGGTTTTAATCTGCTTATCAGTTCCTTCAGCCTCTCAGAATATCCATTTAGAGATGTACCACAAAGTTCCTAAGCTGATCTTTGTTAGTCATTCTCCCTCATTCTCTTAATATTTTCTAGCTGGTTAAATACCAGCTTTTTTGAATAGTAGTTACGCATTTAGTTAATTTCTGTCTAATGGAATTATTATTTGTTGGCAGTTCCTTACTGGACATTAGCTTTTTAAATATTCGCATAGAACTTAACTTTAGTGCTAAACAATACATTTTTTCCTTTTCAGTCGACGTGGCACAAGTCTAATGGAAGATGATGAAGAGCCAATTGTTGAAGATGTGATGATGTCATCAGAAGGTCGGATTGAAGATCTCAATGAAGGCATGGATTTTGACACCATGGACATAGACCTAGTAAGAAATTTACTTGTCTTTTTAGTGGAATTTGGATTTGTATTTCCACTTTTAAAGTAGGATATTTGAATCAAATTTTCCTTTTGCTGAAACAGAAAAATGATTCTTGTTGATCTCTGCATTCTTAACCGGCTGTGCCACGGTCTCTATACCAGTGCCATCTGCTCAAACTGTGATACAAAAAGCAAGAGCACTTCCTGTATTAATAATGTGAGAGAGTTTATCCTCTGTAAATTCTTACCCTTTGGGAGTTCAGCTTCATTTATTACAGTTTAAAAACTCTGGGTTTTTTCTGAAATTACAGTTAACATGTTTATTTGCTTGCTTTCTAAAGCCACCATCAAAGAACAGGAGAGAAAGAACGGAACTAAAACCAGATTTCTTTGACCCCGCTTCAATCATGGATGAATCGGTAGGTTAACTTACTTAAGAGGAAAATAATGTAAAATCAGTCTTAAGATTACAGTACTCTCTTACTATGAATTTTAAGTGGAAAGAATGCAATCTTTAGGTTGTCTTCATTAGCTTAGTTTGGCAGACTGGTACAGTCAGTGAAATATTTTATGCTGTAATTCAGCTTCATAAATCCTGAGGTAGTCAATGTTCTTTGCAAGTTGATAGGATTTTTGTTCTTAATACTTTATATGTAGCTATATAAGAATCAAGAGCCTTTGAATCTGAGCAGAAAACACATCTGGTATGGAAAAGACCCTTGCAGAAGTTAGGTAGCAAAGAGCTTTAAAAAAAAATAATAAAAAAAAATAAATATATATATATATATATAAAATTTGTGCATACACACTATTGAAGGCAAGTTTCCTGTTGTGATGAGCTTAATTGAGTGACTCTAATGTCATTACCAATTGTCATCATTGGATGGTTTGCCTTTTTTTTTTTTTAATTGGCATATTTAGTTTTGTGCATAAGTAAGATAATGGAGAAAATAGAGATAATACAGCTATCTGTTTATAGAGATGAGAGGTATTTTTTCTTTCCATGTAAAGTTTTAGGTCCAAAACATCCGAAGTCTGTAGTTTCTGCTTGCAGTTGCCCTTTTTTCCGACTTGATAAATCTGCAGTCTCTATTCTCTTTTAAAAATCTGCATGAGGGATTCCTTCTGTCTTGAACCACTTGTAATGTATGCAGCCAGTTTTGACCTTGTGTAGCTGGTACAAAATTACACTGGAAATAACAAGCTGCAGCAAGCCAGCAGAGGACAGTACAACAAGGCTTCCTGGGAATCTTGGACAGCTTGGTGGAATTTGGAAGACGGTTATGTATATGTTTTTTTAACAGTATTGTTGCAGAGTAAACCTGTTCTTGTTATGGGAGAAAGAAGTCTTAAATACTGTTTTAAATGCAAATACATATATTTTGTACCAGTAGGCCTTTGCTTTAGTATTAATGAATCAGATTAGGCTGTGCATCTGGCTGTTGTGTGTTCTGTTCTTGAAGTAACACTGAGAAAGTACATCACCTGTTTTCTGATGTTCTGTTTTAAAGTAGTTCTTCCCCTCCCCTTCTTGATTTTTAACAGATAGATCTGTGAAATACCAGTCTTTTTTTTTTTAAATTAAAATCGCTATGAGAAAAAATATCCCTTCCTATGCAGAAAATTATTATCATGGCTTCAGGCATTGTATTGAAAGAGTATTTGCCTTATCTGCTTAACCTATGCACTCGGGTAAATCCTCAAAACATTCCCTTAAGTTCCTGCAGCAAATTTATTCAAAGTGTAGGTTTTCACAAGCTCGGGCAATATACTCAGAGCATGTCAAAACCACGCGATAAATTAATTCAATTACTTCCACGTATTATTCATTGGAGAGAGAGTGGTGGTTTTGTCTCCTTTTAAGGGAGCAAGTTGCAGATAAAGTGCTTTGGTTTTATAATTAACATTCATGAACTTCTGATGTCCCACAAACATGCAACTATCCTTTTTTTTAATTATTATTATGAATGTTGTTAAAACACTTTTTCACTTTAATATTAGTAGTTCCCACAAAGAAAAAATTTACTGCCTCCTGGTACCAGCAAAGACCAGTAGGGCTGGGATGTATTGAGACCCATAACTTTATATTCACATGTAACTTCCAATTACATCATAATCCTATGATTTGGAGGCGCTCAATTCAGAAGAGGGAACAAGGCTTATTTTTGGGGAGTCGTCACATCTGCAGCATTTTTCAATTTTTCTTAAATGCTTAGAAAAGTTGACTTTCAAAATTTCTCATTTGAAACAAGTGTTTTAACATCGTATTTGCAAGAGCATAAGAGCCATTCCTTCCTTCAGCACGGGACAAATACAGAGCTGACAGTACCTTTTATATACCTCGCGCTCGATACAAAACATGAGAAAACAGAACACAGATTAAAGGAAAAAACGCAGTAGAGAGACATTTCAGAGAGAGGCAACGTAAAATTTCTCCTTGTTTATAGGAAAGTCAAGTGATGTGCTCATGCTTTTTAGGAAGTCGTTATAAAATGACAGTTGTGGTTTTAACACTCTGCTGACCTGGGATTGTGGTGGTGCTGCTAGAGCTACTGTCATCCACGGGCCCAAAGAAATCAAGGTTCAGAAGAGTGGAACCTCCACTAGCTTGAAATTCAGTGACCGTGTTGGTAGGCAGCCATATAGAAGGTAAGCCAAGTGAGGGGTTTATGTGTAAAAAGGGGTAAGACACACACTTGAACATGCAAGTTATAATTAGTACTCAGTAGGCAATTTAAAAATTGACATGAAAACAATGCTTACAGTATTAGTTTTGTACCTCCTAAAATGTTAACAACTTAATTCAGTGCACATTTCCTCATGTACAATGCGGCAAGGAAATCAACACTAGTAACTTTAAAATAGATATATTTATTTCAATCTAAAAATGAAAGAGAACCAGCACGACCCAGAGAGAAAGATGTGATCGGTTAAAGGGAAACAATATATAGGTCAATCAATCGTCAGAATATAGCAGGCTTTTTCTCCCCCCACTGAAATCACAAGCCATTCTTTCATCAGGAAGACTTAGCAGATCCCCAAATAGCAAAGAACCAAAAAAAAAAAAAGCTTTAAAGTTTTATTTAGCAGCTTTGAGCTATTAATTATCATTATCTTAAAGCAGTGTGAACACAGGGTAACAAACGCCACTCTTATATCCAGTTCCTCACTGGCAAATTATACTGTTCCCCTTTAGTACTAAAACAGAAATCAAACCAAGGTACATTTTAAAGAAGTTGTTTGTTAAAAAGAAAGCGTGGTGATTGACTGAAGTAATAAGACACCAGACAACAGCAAAAGGGTCCATCCAGGCTTTCCTTCAGCAATGATATCGCTTCTCCAAACTCCTACCATCCCACGTGTTCCCAAACACCACCAGTGCAGGGAGAGCTGTGGTTTATTTTAGCCTGCTTTCCAACAACTCCTCTGCCATCAATTAATTGCTGTGACCAGGCTCCTCACAAAGGTATGGGTTTCCTTACAGGTTTCTAGTCTGTCGATCAAACAAGTTTCCAAAACTTGTTTTATTTCCTCTGCGTGCACTTACATTTCTGAGACCGGAGGTGGTGGCACAACTCACTTTGCTATTAAAATAGACATAGGTGAAGGGTCTTCTATGTGACAACTATATATATTTACAGATACAAATAAGCTTGTAGCTACCTCTTTAATTTCATATATTATCTATAATTAGCTCTTGAGTGTAAGCAAAAGTGGTAACAGATGAAGTAACTTTTTTTGAAATATAAAATTATCTGTAAATCTGAAAACTTTCAGGTCAAGAAGTGTATCTTTTGCAAACAGTTTGTGGTTAAAATATTGTGCTTTGAAGTAGCCACTATACACAAGTTTGTCATTCAAAGGATGACTACAGAGATAGTTCGTTGGTGAAAAATACTTTTAAGAAGTAAAACTTGTCAATCTAAAATGCTCATTTGTTCAGAGCTTCATTATAATCTGCAGTTATGTACGTAATGAAGTGTTAATATTGCCACTGTGTCATTAGCATACGGCAGGAATCTAAAATAATACTTAACTTAGTATTTTTCAGACTACATAATACTTCACGTAGGGGCACAGTTAATCAGAAAGAAAGCCTGAATTTCCAAAGTTAGGAGTAAGAAATAAATATTATATATATTTATATATATATGTGTGTGTGTGTATATTTAAAAAGAAAAAAATAATCAGCAGATAGATGTTTGTCTGAACTTTGTAGCTTTCTTATCTCTAGCTCTGGTGCTAGAGGCTCTACGGAGAGACGTACCATCTAAAGGGTTAGTAAGGCCACTGCTACTCCAGTCAAACTGGACAGGTGGTAGAGATTCCTAGAGTTGAAAAGTCAGAAATCAGATTTTACAGTCAGTTCAGGTTACAACAATGCAAAGCAGTTCAAACAACAGATTCTTTAGCGTCTAAATACTAAAAAGACAACTGAAATGAGCAAGCTCCAACTTTCGGGAGGTGTGTATTTTCATAATATGCACGAAAGATTCAAAGTGGATCTGTTCTACCACAGGAAGTCTCATTAAATTCTGAACAGTACAGATTAGGTAACTTCTAACTCAAAGAGGATTTGCAAATTAACTAAAACATATGAATTGGATAAAGCAAAAACCCTTAAGGCATAGTTAAAAGTCAAACTACTATTACTTTCATGGAAGATGAGATATTTTGCATAAAAAGTTATGTATACACAATTACAGGGCAAATTTAGAATAGGGTTATTATTGAAAGGTGTCTGTACATCCATGCTTTGTCCTGATTATATGCAAAATCAGTTATTTACCATCAAACAGCCCATGATTCTTGTGCTTTATTGTGCTTTCAAGAGACATAAACCCTCCATGTGATAGACAAACCATCAACATCCTCCCCACTCCCTTTAAGAAAAATAAAAATTAATAAAAATCTTGTGACTTATTACCCTTTAGTGATTAACTCATTCCAATATATAAATAAACCATTGGTAACAAGGCTTCAACAAGAGGAGCATGACTCCTTCTGGAAGCCCATCCTTGCCTTTTCATTGACTCTCGTGAAGCCTTTTGCTCACAACCAGGTAAATCATGCAAGAGGAGGGGTTGTGTTTTAGGGGGAAAAACGTGTCCTGTGTTGTCAGGACACAAACTGGATGGGACAGTATCAGAAAGATCTAAAATAAGTTCATCTTTCTACTTCTGCGTGTTACATTTCTGCTGTCTCCTCAGTGAAGGCAACTTGTCAAGAAGTACCAGGGAAGGATGTGCCTTCAGCTTCTAAACAGAACCAGCATGTTTATGGGAGAAAAGTAATGGAATTTCTCTGTAGCATTATTCAAAGTGCATCATTAGTTGTCAAGCTTCCAGTGGCCAAGAGAGCACTTTTGCTCTTGGAGAATGTCAGGCTTTAATTTTATGTTTTCTTTTAATTTTGTCAACTAAGACTGAAAAAAATAGGCATATTCAT